ATGGACACATGTATAAGCAAGTAGATGGGGTCGCCATGGGTTCTCTCCTAGGTGTCCTGTTTGCAAACTTGTACATGGGTACCATCGAGCAAAAAGTCTTAGTCGACATGAACTTGAAACCGGCCATATACTGCAGGTATGTTGACGACATTTTTACACAGGTACCTGATGTCAGACATCTGCAGGAGCTGAAGGAGGCATTTGAGCAGAATTCTGTGTTGCGTTTCACTTACGAGATGGAGAAGGATGGGAAGCTGCCCTTTCTAGATGTAACAGTCATGGATAGGAGCGGAGTTTTCCACACTGCAGTCTACACTAAGGAAACAAACATAGAAATGTGCCTGAATGCCAACAGTGACTGCCCGGACAGGTACAAGAGGAGTGCTGTTAACGCTTATGTCGACCGTGCCCTCAGCCACAGCTCAGAATGGAAGCAAGTCGACGAAGAACTCTGCAGGGTAAGGCAGGTCCTAGTCAACAACGGCTTCTCCAATGGTTTCGTGGAAGACATCATAAGAAGGAAAGTGAAACGCCATGCAACCTCTGAAGAGACAACTAACACAACACCTATACCCCCTATTAGACTATTTTACAGGAACTTCTTTTCCACAGCCCATAAAACGGAGGAAAGAGTCCTGAAAGATATTGTCAGTAGAAACGTTATCCCTACAGACAAAAATCAGAAGATACAACTGACGATTTACTATAAAACCAGAAAAACGGCCAGCCTACTCATGAGAAACTCTCCAGACACAAAGCAGAACGCTTTAAAAGAGACCAACGTCGTCTATGCCTTCAAATGCCCTCTTGGGGACTGTAAGCCTCAAAAAACCCAGTATATAGGAAAGACAACAACATCTCTTTCCAGGCGTTTAACGATGCATAAGCAACAGGGCTCCATTAAGGAACATATAATCTCTTCCCACAAACAAACCATCACCAGAGAAATCTTAGCAAACAACACAGAAATCATCGATTGATACAGCGATAGCAGGCGGCTTGATGTCTGCGAGGCACTACACATCAAGAAGTCAACACCAGCAATCAACAGCCAATTAATGCACAACTAAGTTCTTCCCACTTCAAGACTCAAGACACTTCAAGACTCTCCATATCAACTTATAGAGAATATGAAGACATGATAAGGAACATAGGGAATACAAAGAATGAACACTGAACATGTGAAGAACAAGCTAAGAACATTGAGAACATGAATATTGAGTATAAAAGTTATACAGAGAACATATGATGTACATGAAAACATGACAAAGAACATAGTGAACATACGGGGAAAATGGTAGAAAAAATTTGAACTGAGCATGCTGTGAACATTTGTTGAACATGGAATGAACACAGAAAACATGGAAAAAAATGTGAAGAACACAGCTGAATATAGAGAAAATATGCAAATAGAGTATGATTATTGAAGATTGGATAAGTTGGGGATGAGAAGGTAAGGGAGGGAAAGTGTACGGTGAGATTTTGACCATGTGATTATTGCTTACTTGGGTAAACAAAAGGTATTGAAGGTAAGGTGTTATATGACAGTGTGAATATTACAGAGCTGAGTACAAAAAGGGTATTAAAGGAAATGATAGACTGGAGAGAGGATTGATCTGAAATAATTTGATGAACATTGAACTAAGTGAAGAACATGAGTTGGAACTCGATAATTTGCTTTTGATTTATTTGCAGGGGGGGTCTGAAAATGTAGTTGAGTGTTCAAATCTCAGGGGGATTTGGACTGATAGTAATGAATTTACAAGAGTGAACTTGGACAGAGGACAAGAGCTAGAGTTTTATAATTGTTTACATTATATTTACTATGTCTGAAATACAGAGGGTAAAAATTTCAGGGAAATTGATTTGTTATTTACAAAGATACGAGAGAGAACTAAGGTGGGGACGAGAGCTGGAGCTCGTTAACTGTTTTTGATCTTATTTACGGTGTCTGAAATACAGAGGGTAAAAATTTCAGGGAAATTGATGGGCTATTTACAAAGATACGAGAGAGAACTAAGGTGGGGACGAGAGCTGGAGCTCGTTAACTGGTTTGATCTTATTTACGGTGTCTGAAATACAAAAGGGTAAAAATTTCAGGGGAATTGATAGGATATTAACAAAGACTTGAGGGGGGAGTAGGGTGGGGGACGAGAGCTGGAGCTCAGTAACTGACTTGATCTTATTTACTACGACTGAAATATGAATGTTTAAAATTTCAGGGGGATTGGACTGCTAGTAGCGAAAATGTGGTCTCTGTCAAATTTGGGTCTTCAATTGGACTCTGACGAATTTCTGTTGATAATTGGACTCTGATGAAATTTGAGCTTAAAACTGTCTCTGATTAATTTTGATAGAAAACTGGACTCTGATTAATTTCGATCAAGAACTGGACTCTGATGAATTTTGCTCTCAAAGTAGACTCTGTCAAATTTCTGTTGATAATTGGACTCTGACGAAAATTGGGTATTAAACTGTCTCTGACTAATTTTGCTGGCAAACTGGAATCTGGCGAATTTCTGTTGATAATTGGACTCTGATGAAATATGAGCTTAAAACTGTCTCTGACTAATTTTGCTCACACAGTGGACTCTGTTCATTTTTAGGTATAAAATGGTCTCTGACGAAATTCTGTCTATAACTGGACTCTCTTCAATTTTGGTCTTTACAGGTGAAATAGCCGTAAATGGATATAAAACTGAATGTTATGGCTAAGATGTCTGTTTTCCTTAACAAAACATCTAAGACAATATTCTCTGAAAATGTTTTTTTTTTTTACAAAATTTGGTCATAAACATATAAATAAACTTCTATGATTATTTGAAACTCTGAAATATTTTCTTAAAACTGAACTCTGAAAAAATTTGAGTTTCTCCCATATGAACTTTAACAAACTTGTATGAACTTATTTTCATCATAAGAACTTTTAACAACTTCTAAAATCTGTGACTGACAAAATTTACCTGAAAACCCTGACTCACACGCGGGATATTGGACCTCAAAACCCTGGCTCCCACAGGTAACTTTTTCCCCCTTTGAACCTGAAAACCATGGCTCACACAGGTAACTTTTTCCGAAGTTGAAAACAGGCAAAATATGTCCGTAGAGTTTACCTGAAAATGCTGTGACACAAACACGATATTTTCTAACAATTTTCTTTAGTATTTTCCTACTTATTTTCCTCATAAGAACGCTTAACAAACCTCTAAAATCTCAGAAATTATTTTCCTCATAAGAATTCCTTACTTCCAAATCTGTGACTCCCCAAATTTGCCTGAAAACCCTAAAGCGCTACAAGTGATATTTGAATTTCTCCCATAAGAACTTTAACAAACTCGTATGAACTTATTTTTAGCATAAGAACTTTTAACAAAATTCTATAATCTCAGAAATTACTCGCTCATAAGATATCCTTAATTCCAAATCTGTGACTCCCCAAATTAGCCTGTAAACCCCCAAGCGCTACACGTGATATTTCTAAATTTACCTGAAAACCCCCAAGCGCCACAGGTAACTTTTTCCCCCAGAAAAAAAGTTACCTGTGGCGCTTACCCCCTACTACTTCCCTTGACGAGCTTCAGCAAGTGTCCCTTGACGAGCTTCAGCAAGTGTCCCAGGTCGAGCTTCATCAATTAAGTGCCACTGGACTAGCTTCAGCAAGGGTCTCTGGACGTGCTTCAGCATGAACCCCTGGGCGAGCTTCATCAAGTGTCCCTGGACGAGCTTCAGCAAGTGTCCCTTTGCGAGCTTCAGCAAGTGTCCCTGGACGAGCTTCAGCAAGTGTACTGGACGAGCTTCAGCAAGTGTCCCTGGACGAACTTCATCAAGGGTCCCGGGATGAGCTTAAAAAAATTGTCCTGGTACGAGCTTTATCAAGTTTCCTGGCACGAGCTTCACAAAATGTCGTAAGACGAGCTTCGCAAAGTGTCGTAAGACAAGCTTCGTCAATTATCCTGAAACGAGCTTTGTCAAGTGTCCTGGGACGAGCTTCGTCAAGTGCTTTGGTACGAGTGTCATCATTTGTCCTGATACGAGCTTCGTCAAGTGTCCAGGGACGAGCTTCGTCAAGTGTCATGGGACGAGCTTGGTTAAGTGTCCTGGGACGAGCTTCGTCAAGTGTCCTGGGACAAGCTTTGTCAAGTGTCCTGGGACGAGCTTCGTCAAGTGTCCTGGGACGAGCTTCGTCAAGTGTCCTGGGACGAGCTTCGTTAAGTGTCCTGAGATGAGCTTTGTTAAGTGTCCTGAGACGAGCTTCGTCAAGTATCCTGGGACGAGCTTCGTCAAGTGTCCTGGGACGAGCTTCGCCAAGTGTCCTGGGACGAGCTTCGTCAAGTGTCCTGGGACGAGCTTCGACAAGTGTCCTGGGACGAGCTTCGACAAGTGTCCTGGGACGAGCTTCGTCAAGTGTCCTGGGACGAGCTTCATCAAGTGTCCTGGGACGAGCTTCGTCAAGTGTCCTGGGACGAGCTTCGTCAAGTGTCCTGGGATGAGCTTCGTCAAGTGTCCTGGGACGAGCTTCGTCAAGTGTCCTGGGACGAGCTTCGACAAGTGTCCTGGGACGAGCTTCGTCAAGTGTCCTGGGACGAGCTTCGTCAAGTGTCCTGGGACGAGCTTCGTCAAGTGTCCTGGGACGAGCTTCGTCAAGTGTCCTGAAACGAGCTTTGTTAAGTGTCCTGGGTCGACCTTCGCCAAGTATTTTGGGACGAGCTTCTTCAAGTGTCATGAGACCGCTTCGTCAAGTGTCCTGGGACGAGTTTCATCAAGTGTCTTTGGAGGAGCTTCATTAAGTGTTCAGAGACAAGCTTTATCAAATGGTCAGGTCGAGCTTCAAGACGTTTAGTGAAGACTTAAACAAATGGTGTTTCCGATTAAATATTATCACCAGTGAAGGCTTTCCATTGAGTGGAGTATTTCTCCATACATTTTAGGCCGGATTTTCCCTACGTCGGTCATTGCTATGAGAATATAAAGACAAATTGGAAGGGAGTGAGTGGTAATACCTGGACAATCTGTCTGATGGTGGTGATTGGCTGCTCTACCACCCGTACCATCATGTAGGCCGTCAGGTTGCTGCAGTAGAAGATAGTTACTACGAATCCGCTCACCATCACTGCCCCCAGGAGCATCTGAAGAAGATAACACCAGCACAATTTCAACTTGTAATTTCACACCCGCATCACAACAATATACGTCAAAATACATTGGCCTCTTCAGGCACCAAGCTTCGATGTACACACTGAAAACGATATTCTGTCAATAACTCTAAGAAAGAAAGTCTGTTTGTGTGTCGGTGCTAGGTTGGAGGTCAAACACTTGGGACTATCCTCAACCAACTTTGCAGGGAGAATGGTCTCGGGTATGAGACATACATAGGCTGATTGGAGTCGTTCGTATTAATCTTAATTAAGGTGGGGATGAGGCAAAATAGTGACCCCTACAAAATCGGTGGCAGAGTCTCTATATGTTTTCACTGAAAATTAATGAATGAGAATTTAGTATTAAATGAAAAAGTCTTTCTTTTCGAGGTTAGAGGCCAGACATGCATATACATATGCATGTCTGTATATGAACGTGCATATACTTTAATTTATGATTAAAATATATGAATGAACATACACTCCACGCCTTTCCCCCCTCCCATCTCCCACTTCCATCACACGCCCTTCCCTCGTCCCCCCAAAATTCCTCCATATCCCTCAAGCCTCTCTCCATCCTATCGTCTTCCTCCCCCTCTCTTTATCCCCTTCAATTTTCTCTTTCCCATTTAGCCCCTCTTTCCTCTCATAAAATATAATATTAGGAGAGTTGCCGGCAGTGCCCGGGACATTCTGTCTCTTCGCACTCCTCTTCCTCTATCTCCTCTTTGACCCTCTCGTCCCTATCCCCTTTGTTGCTCCCCCTGTCCTCTCCTCTTTCTCCCTTCCTACCCTTCCCCCCTTCATTCGTCTCCAACCCAACATGAACCTTAGTCATGGCTTTAGTGCTGTTGACTTTTCCCTTTCACAGTACATACTTAAATGTTCTAAACTCTCTAACAAACGTGACCGAACCTAAGCCTAACCTTTATTTATCTCTTTCTCTTCATTTTCTTACATTCCCATTCTTTCTCCTATTATTACACCGTTTATTACCCCTTCCCTTCCCTTCCGTACCTTTCGCCTTGCTCTTATCTTCGTCTACGACTTACGCCTCCTCACCTTTCTCTTGCCTTACTTAATTTCCGTGCCTCCCTCGTCTCCTTTTTCTTGGTAGATGAGGGGACTCTGGGTTGGGTCATGGTGTCTTTGCTACATCCTGCTATTAGGGCATTTAATAATGTAGGGGTCGTCATTTGTGCTTGGAATGTCATGGAGGCAATACCAGGTGTATTAATTTTGTTGCCATGATCTGTTCGTTTGTTGTCTCCTTGTGGAGTAATGCTTTGTTTTCTCCAGTTACTCGAGGTCCTGGTCTTGCTTAGACTGGAGGGAATTGTTGCTTTAGTCTGTTGCTGGTTCTTATTTTCATTTATTCGGACTTGCCGAGGAGTGTTTCACTGCCTTTTAACTGAGGGTCTGGTAGATTATGGTCTTGGAGTTGTGGCTGTGGGTTGCTGGGTAGATCCGATGGAATGAATTTCTTTTACCCTTTCTGGACATCGTTTGTTCCAGGCGTGATGTGTATCCCCGCAGTTTGGACATTTTGCTTTCGTTGGTTTGCTTTCTTTATGCAGATTATTGCAGATGTGGATGTTATGTAGCTCGCAGTATACTCCACATCGTTCCGGGCCTCTTCAGCCATCTTTATGGTGGCCGAAGCTCTGATAGCTGTAACAGCACATGAGCTCTGAATTGCATAGCGTTAGACTTAATTGTCCATAGATCCCTACATTCAGAGAGTTGATGCGAGGTCGTTTTATTGATACAAGCACCTGTCTAGTTTCTACATTGTCGTACTTCCACCTTTTTGTTGTTGTTACATTGGGGAATTCTAAGAGCCTGGTTGAATTGACTTCAACCGGGAAATGTTGTACTATCATCTTGGTGATTTTTTCCTCTGGTTTTAGGTCAACTAGGGCTTCCGTATTCCTGAGGTTTATAATTATATCTTGGTTAGCAGTGGATATATTATATCAGTCTTTAATGTCAGGTTTGGCTTTGAGATCTGATCCTGGGTGCTCTTTTTCCAGTGTAACAATGTAGGCATAAGTGGGACCATCTACTGGTCTTTTGGTTTTGAAGATGGTCCTTGGCATTGGTTTGGGGGCTGCTCATGGGCCCTGGCTAACTTCTAAATTAATTTCGTCGGGCATTTCTTCGGTTCTTTTTCGTTTATTTGTCTTTCCGTTTCCTACAATATGCCAAGGTGGCTTATTGTGAGTGGGGTTATCATCCAGTTCATTGTTTCTCTCACCTTCAGCAATTTTTCTCGCCCTCGCCACGAGATTACTGTGTCCTTCTGACCTAAACAATTTCAGAGGGATGGTCAGGAGAGTCATTTCCGGGCAGGATATGGTCTTAATGCACTGAATTGTGCAATGACGTGACATTGCGACACACTGGCTGCCAAGAAAGGCAGCCAAAGGCATATCAAGTGACCACTGTTCCTATGGTTATTGCCTCCCTGACAGAAACCTTCAGCAAGATGCTTGACAAAAACATTCCAAGCACTGGAACAGACCAATCCACAGTCTAGGAAGGAAGTATTAACAAGGTTAAAAAATCTACTGAATTTATTTCTTCCACACTTCTGCAAGCCCTACCTGGAAAAGGTTGACGAAGTATAAGTCGAAGAAGGTGACGAAACCGAATTATTTCAGCACCCAACGGCAGTCTCCACTCCAACCAAGAAGACAAAAGCCGGTAGGGAAATCAGCACTTTAGAAACCACCATGGCTTCAATGGTTTCAACTCTAACAGAATAAGGTGGTTAAGGTGTCCTGTACACCAGTTGTAAAGTGCTCCAGGAAGTATGGGTTCGAGCCACTTCTGGGGTGTGAATTTTCAGTTGCATATATGCCTGGGAACCATTCAGATTTGTTCACATTTGTGTTGCTCATGTGTGCCCCAAAGAATGAGGTGATTTGATAAAATACTAAGCCTAAGATTACCTCCAATGTGCCGGCGGAATGATGGGGAATTAGCCTTGGCTACCATCATCTTTTGTCCGGTCGTCATGGTCGAGTGGGTAAAGTGTCCTGAACACCAGTTCCAAAGTTCTCCTGGTAGTATGGGTTTGAGTCACTTCTGGGGAGTGAGTTTTCAGTTGCATATATGCCTGAGAACCATTCAGGTTTGTTCGCATTGAGAAGACCTACTGGCAGTATGGGTTTGAGTTTCTTCTACAGAGTGAGTTTTCAGTTGCATATATGCCTGGGAACCATTCAAGCTTGTTCGCATTTCTGTTCCTTACATGTGCCTCAAAGATTGAGGTGAATTGATAAAATACTATGCCCAAGATTACCATCAGAGTGCTGGTGGGATGATGGGAAATTAGCCTTGCCTACCATCATCTTTTGTCCGGTCCTGATGGTCGAGTTGTTAAGGTGTCCTGAACACCAGTTCCAAAGTTCTCTTGGCAGTATGGGTTTGAGTCACTTCTGAGGTGTGAGTTTTCAGTTGCATATATGCCTGAGAACCATTCAGGATTATTCGCATTTGTGTTCTTCACATGTGCCCCAAAGATTGAGGAGATTTGAGAAAATACTATGCCAAAGATTACCATCAGAGTGCCGGCGGGATGATGGGGAACTAGCCTCGACTACATCATCTTTTGTCCGGTCGAGTGGTTAAGGTGTCCTGTACACAGGTTGCAAAGTGCTTCTGGCGGTATGGGGTCGAGTCACATCTGGGGTGCGAATTTTCAGTTGCATATATACCTGGGGACCATTCAGGCTTGTTCGCATTTGTGTTCCTCAAGTGAGCCTAAAAGAATGAGGTGATTTGAGAAAATACTATGCCAAAGATTACCATAAGAGTGCCGGCGGGATGAAGGGGAATTAGCCTCGGCTACCCTCATCTTTTATCCAGTCGTAATGGTCGAGTGGTTAAGGTGTCCTGTACACCAGTTGGAAAGTGCTTCTGGCAGTATAGGTTCGAGTCATTTCTGGGGGGTGAATTTTCAGTTGCATATATACCTGGGGACCATTCAGGCTTGTTCGCATTTGTGTTCCTCACGCGTGCCCCAAAGAATGAGATGATTTCATAAAATACTATGCCCAAGATTACATTCAGAGTGCCGACGGGATGATGGGAAATTATCCTCGGCTACCATCATCTGTTGTCTGGTCCTGATGGTCGATTGGTTAAGGTGTCCTGTACGCCAGTTGCAAAGTGCTCCTGGCAGTATGGGTTTGAGTCACTTCTGGGATGTGAATTTTCAGTTGCATATATACCTGGGGACCATTCAGGCTTGTTTGCATTTGAATACCTCACATGTGCCCCAAAGAATGAAGTGATTTGATAATATACTATGCCCAAGATTACCATCAGAGTGCTGGTGGGATGATGGGGAATTAGCCTCGGCTATTATCATCTTTTGTCCAGTTGTGATAGTCGAGTGGTTAAAGTGTCCTAAATCCCAGTTCCAAAGTTCTCCTGGTAGTATGGGTTTGAGTCACTTATGGGGTGTGAGTTTTCAGTTGCATATATGCCTGGGAACTATTCAGGCTTGTTCGCATTTGTGTTCCTCACGTGTGCCCCAAAGAATGAGGTGATTTGATAAAATACCATGCCAATGATTACCTTAAGAGGGCCGGCGGGTTGATGGGGAATTAGCCTTCGCTACCATCATCTTTTGTCCGGTCGTGATGGTCGAGTGGTTAAAGTGTCCTGAACACCAGTTGCAAAGTGCTCCTGGCAATATAGGTTCGAGTCGCTTCTTGGGTGTGAGTTTTCAATTTCAGATATGCCTGGGAACCATTCAGGCTTGTTCGCATTTATGTTCCTCACGTGTTCCCCAAAGAATGAGGTGATTTGATGAAATACTGTGGCCAATATTACCATCAAAATTCCAGCGGGATGATGGGGAACTAGCATCGACTACCATCATCTTTTGTTCGGTTGTGATGGTTGATTGGTAAAAGTGACCTGAACACCAGTTGCAAAGTGCTCTTGGAAGTAAAGGTTCGTGTCACTTCTGTGGATTT